GAAGACGAGGGTGAAAACAGAGCGAAGGATTCGCTGGTGGAAAATGCGGAACGTAGAAAAGGATAGCCTCGGCCGAAGAATACTGGAGGCTGGGCTCCCAGACCCACATGGGCCAGTCCAGGACACCTGGACCTACGCAGCAGAGGTCATCCTACAGTGTGCAAGGGAGGTCCTGGGAGAGACGCGAGGTGGTATCAGAGGAGACAAGGCAGCCTGGTTCTGGAACGAGGAAGTCCAGAGGATCGTCAAGCAGAAGAAGGAAGCATACAAACGCTGGCAAAAGACACGGAGCCCAGAAGACTACGCTGCCTACAAGAGCTGCAAGCGACTCGCCAAGGCAGCCGTTGCTAAGGCCAAGAATACGGAAATGGACGCCCTGTACGACAAGCTGGAAGGCCGAGAAGGGGACAAGTTCGTCTTCCGCCTGGCGCTGCTCAGGACATCAGGGTCGTAAAGACTGTGAAGAGCAGCAACGGGGCCATTCTCAGGAAACCAGCCGAAGTCAGGAAGAGGTGGGAAGAATACTTCGAGGGACTTCTGAACGAAGAATTCCCTCGCAAGGATAGCCCACAGATAGAGGCGACGGCAGGTCCCATCACTCCCTGGACGAAGGATGAAGTCCGCCGGGAGCTAGGGAGAATGAAAGTTGGGAAAGCAGTGGGTCCAGACGGGGTACCGATAGAGGCATGGAAGGCCCTGGAGAGCATGGGGTGAGTTGGCTAACAGACTTCCTAAACAATGTAACGGCTGAAGGAAGGATGCCAGATGCGTGGAGGAGCAGCACAATCGTCCCCATCTTCAAACAGAAACGACGGAGTGCTCCAACTACCGCGGCATCAAGTTGACTCCCCATACCATGAAGCTGTACGAGCGCCTGGTCAACACTAGGCTGAGGGAACTTGTCCCTATCTCGCAGTTCGGCTTCATGCCCGAGAGGTCCACCACCGATGCCATCTTCATCGCCAGACAGCTGATGGAGAAGTACCGAGAGAAGCGGCGACCCTGCTACCTAGCCTTCCTGGACCTTGAGAAGGCATTCGACCGCCTGCCTAGGCCTGTACTCTGGAGAGCGCTTAGAGAACGTAACGTTCCGGAACACCTCATCTCCATAGTGAAGGACATGTACGATGGGGCTAAAGCAGCTGTACGCACCCCTCACGGCTTGACAAAGGAGGTAATTACGGTTGGGGTACACCAAGGATCAGCCCTCAGCCCGTTCCTCTTCCTCCTGACTCTGGATGTCATGGCAAAAGAACTCATGGAGGGGCCACTGAAAACCATCCTCTACGCTGACGACATCGCCCTGATAGCGGACAGCAGGGAAGAACTCCAGGACAAGGTGCAGCGGTGGCAGGATGTGCTCGCTGAGAATGGACTCCGGCTGAACGTGAAGAAGACCAAGTTCCTAAGCTCCGAAGAGTGCACCGAACTCATCGTAGACCGCCATGGCGAGAGCATCGAAATCGAGGATTTCCAGTACCTGGGGAGCAACCTAGCAGCTGATGGCAGCGTGGACCAGGCGGTGAAGGCCCGAATCAACGCAGCCTGGATGAAATGGAGGGAGTCCACTGGCATCCTGTGCGACCAACGGTGCTCGGGGAGGTGGTAAGAACCATGAAAGGCAGCTCCACTCAGCTGAAATGAGGATGCTGAGATGGGCCTGCGGCTGGACACGACTCGACAGAGTCAGAAACGAGGACGTCAGGGCGATCACACAGACCGCTCCGATCCAGCTGAAGGCACGAGAGCAGCGACTGCGATGGTATGGGCATGTACTGAGGAGGCCTGAAGACCACCCAATAAGGAAGGCATTGGAACTCGAGGTAGAGGGCAAGCGACCACGAGGAGCCCCAAAGAAAAGATGGAGGGACGTCATCAAGAGGGACCTCACTGAAGTGCAGAAGATGCAGTGGATCGGAACAAGTGGCGACGTCTAACAAGAACCGTGCGACGGCGCGGTACTAACGCTAGGGAGAAGAAAAAGAAAAAGGAGAGCGGTACGAAAACTGGCTAGACCCACGGAGACTTTCGAGCGCCAAAAGCTCAAACAGAGGCGAATTACATAGCACCTGCTGTACCCTTCAAGAGTATATAAGCTTAGCAGTGGCTGACATATCTGTGTTTCTTTCGCTTTTTTCCCTAAGGACGTATATGAAGTGCTGCAGGAACTTTCATTAAGCCTCAAAACATAAAATTAACATAAAATTATGTAAAATACCGCTGGCTCAGCAAATCTGACATCAACCATTGACAGGTTCACCGAAGTTTTCACTAACATGGTTTGTCGATTTGGCTCATGACAATACAAAACTGCTGTACCGTAGCGACTATGAACTGTACGACTTCTTTCTAAAAAATAGAGATGCGGTATGCCTTTCGAAAAACGTTTCTGGCTATATTATCAACAAAACTGTGCTTGCAGCTGAACAACTCCTTCATATTTTTCTTCGGTGATCATGGGCCACGATTCGGTTCGGTAAGATCTTGACATTTTATCTTATTCAAGTAGGATAATGTCCGGTAAAATCGTACCATTGTAGCCGACGAAAGGTACCGTCGTTATAGTCAGTCGGGGCGTGTCATGTTGCGTAGGTTATGATGCAACGGCAGTCGGCTCCTCACCCATCGTCACAGCAATGGCTGTTGGAAAAAGGCTGACCGTGCGCCGAAGCCTATACACGCGCCCTCCAATCTGGAGACGTTCCCGTAGCTAAAGTGGGGTCGATACCCATGGAGGCACTATGACTCAAAATCCGAAGTCGCACCCTCTTTGAGTTGCGCTATGAAAGGTGCTCTAATGCTCCTAGAAAGTTCTCTGCGAAAGAAAATCGTTGTGAATCGTCATGTCAGCACGGCGAAGAACGCATCGCGTGTATAACATTTCCAATAGGACATATTGACTTCCCGGAGAATGCTGTGTCAAGTCAACTAGCTAGCATATAGTAGTTTACGCGTTGCACCTGCTGCCAGAACGTGGGTATCCCGTCCAACAAACTGAATTAATCGGCACTGATATAATGAAACTTCAGTGAGTCTGGAATTCACGCGGAATCGGACCCTCAGTGCAGGATCGGGATAGGGAAACCGCGGTGAATAAAAACTACTAGAAGGGGCATGTCATTGTAGTTTGATGGGATTTGCACAAAGATGAGTGCTCCCGTGCGGCAATTTATTTTTTCGGTTCTGCTATCTATTCGCCTACCTCAGTTCCTCTATTATGACCCGCAACTATCTTGCTGCGCGAAACTTATGTATGAAATCTTCATAAATATCTCCTTTCATTTGTAGGAAGCTTATACCGGATTCGGTATTCGTGAGCAGAACAATCCCTTTCTCTATGTCGTGTTGCCAAAGCACTTGCGACATACAAAAGTTTCATCAGCAGATGTTGGCAAACAGCCAAGAACTCGTCACTCATCACGATCTACACTCCACCTTCGAGGATATTCTCTATGTGAGATTTTACAACGTTCCCTTTCCAACCTCAGACTTACTTAGACTTAGTTCCTCCCGTGCTGTTGAGCACATCGGGCACTTCACAATTCTTGTATTGTGAAGTGTATCCCGGTAATCGTATTCATGACAGTAACATGCGATTCTGACCACAAGCGGGACTCGAGCTCACAGTTCGCGTCCTGGTAAGAGGGCATTGTCTGCTTCGTCACCGAGACGTGAGGAGGTACTCTGAGCCCGGTCTGGTGACCGCTGGACAATCAGTCCGGGATTTGTGATCATTTCTGAGGTTGGAAAA